CAAGATTATGTCTTTAGTCACTATCATGGTATTGTAGGTGAATATCGAAGAGTTTGTGGAAGAGCACAGCCAAGAGCCGACCACCGAAGAGCTTATGGAGTTGCAATGTGTTTCACAGTAAGAAGTTTTGGAGGAAAGTTTGTCAGAGGAGGAGGAGGAGGTAACAGAAAAGCAACAATCTTCTGGCGAAGTAAGAGAAAGCTCAAAGCATAGGAAACTGTTGCATCTTACATTGAGAAGCATCACCCTAATAAGGAAGTGGCTATGCGTGCAGCAATTTTATTAAATGATAATGCTGTGTCGCATTTTCGTTAAATTTTGAAGCGTCGGCAGAAGCAAATGTCTCTGGGCATCTTTCTAGTAAACAAAATAATTGGCTGTGTATCATAATTATTTCGACTTTATTTTTCTGCAAATCGAATTCGCATTCCAGGTAGGTTCGTTCCGCGTTTGGTATAAAGGATGAAGATGATTCACATGCCTTAACAAAATGTATATACTTTTCTTTGAATAAACGTTATGCATAGCATTTTGTGAGTGGGGGGGGGGGGGGCGGGGGGGGGGGTGTGCAGTCGGTAGATAATGAGGAGATCAATCCCACCAGGACATCAGTTGAGCAATAAACACCCGGTGACACAAAATGCCACCATTCGAATAAGTATCCATGGGACAGGTCCCAAAAACCTGTTCAACCCATAGGTTGGGTTATATTAGGGGCCCCGTAACAGCCAGAGTGGGGCTTCAAACAAAAAATTAAGTCCGACATTGGGACGCATAATGACTAATCGGTATATTATTCCAGGGTCAGTTAAGCTCAAATTGGATGTCGTGGAGAGGGAATATTTGGAAATGATGCATTTCTGAAGCCATAACATACATTGGAACTATGCGAACTGTGTATACGACTTGTTTAGTTATAGTCTATAGACATATAAAATCTTGCAGAAGTGAATTGTCTGTTTTCTTCACGGCATGCCTTACACGCGATGGTTAAAAGTATTTGTAGCCTACCTGCAAGGCATTAACTTAGCATTACAAAACATTTTAGAATTGAACCTATCTGCCAAAGTAAGAACAGAGATTAATGGAGCTTAGTTTGTGTCGCATTGCTCTTCATCTTCTTCAGTTGATATCTGTAACAGGATTATCAAGCTCAGAAATGCAGTGCTAGATGTCGAAGTGTTCAACTTAAAAATCTGACTTTCAGGGCTGACAACTCTTTGTCACAGATGTAAAAGTATGCGGAGCATAGTTAAGCATGTAGCTTCTAATTTGGGCATAGAATTAAAACCCCTTGGAACTCCCGGCAAAGTCTAAGTAAACAAAACTCCCCCAATGAAGATGGTAAAGAAGATGTAGATTGGCCAGGCAATATGAAATGGATGAATGCACCGAGGCAAATATCGTTTCTGTAATATTGGATAATGTTATTGAGGGACATACAGCTCGTTTCAATGCTGATATTTCTAAGATGTTTAGCTTCCTCTTTAAGTAAATGTCAGTTCATTAAGATAAAGATAAACAGACAGAGAAATTAAAATTACTGGCGAGTCAATATCCAGCTGATTTCAGCGAAGATTTTTATAATGCTGGTAAGTCATTTGCCATCTGTTCAAGAAAATTATGTTTATGTTTATTCGACGGATCAACATCACGGCACAAGAGTGTAACCCATAACTGCTCCGTTCTACTTCTGACTCAAGCCTGAGTCCGAAGAATCTCATCACAGTGCCCGAACTCTCTAGAACCGGCGAGGACCCTGAAGTACTTTAGGTAGATTTTTAACTCCAAATTTTCCATGGGCAGCGCCGTTAGGCTACTCTTTTCGATTTGCAACAATACACACGGGGGTCCGATCTTACTACTCCAGAGACCAGGGAAAATTACTAGAATCTACGTGTACAAATCCCGGCCTTAATGGGGGCTTGAACCCGTGACCTCCAGCACTCGAGACGGACACCATGCCTCGGCGAAAAGGAGAGAGGGAGAGAACAAATTAGTCTTGTTCCAGCTCTTAATAATCATGTCGGCGGCCCTGAACCCCTCTCTCCAGGATATAGGATTGTCTAAGAATCGTTTCCCGTTGTCTTCCCCTGTCTCCTTTCCACATACGTTTCAGTGGTAACAACATGTTTTCGTTTCCTTCTTGTCTTCTCATAACATGACTGAAAAATCATTTTGTACACACTATTAGCTGCTACCTTTTTTTTCTTCTTTAAAAATGACCTTGGCTCCTAGCCTTGAGTGGGTACCGGGTGCAGTCCCGGAAAGTGAAGCCTGCTGGCGTGATGCTGACCACATCACCCATCTTGTGCCATATAAAAATATGGGTCAAGCCCTATATGCCCTAAACGCTTAATGGCGTGAAAAAGGGCTCTTTATTTTACCTTTATAGCTGCTACTATTCCATAATAAACAGCATCCTTTCTCGAAAGCTGAAATATTTTGGTCATTTCAAGCGCCATGACGGACTGGAAAAAAATTATAGCAGAAGGCATGGGGCCAAGGAAGGAGGGGCAGGGGCCGACCAACACGAAGATGGGCACAGGATATAGGTGACTCCTTGAGTGTGAAAATGCATGAGGCAGGACAACTGGCGAGAGACCGAGTTTTTTTTTTCAGGGAGATTGTGATGAGAGCGACGTTCTGCAAAGGACCTGCTACATGATGATGACTATTCCATAACACTAGAGAGTTCCAATCGCCAGGGGAGATCATCTAGCAAACATTTCCGTCACGCTGCACAGAAAAAAGTTTGTAAGATCATTTTGTGTTTTCTCTGTTGTTGAATACCAACCGTAAATTACTTCAAGTATTTGGGCAGATAAATTTATATTGTTATTGTAAGTATATCGAATTACATAATGCAGTTTTCAAAACCCTATCCATACTAAGTTATATTTTGTTACGACAATCGTCAAACAGTACAGTACAGTAGCCATTCTATTTTTTTTTAGAATGATTTTGTTTATCACCGACCAAGTCCAACCGAGGCGAACGAACCGAACAGTCTCAACTCAAACCAGGTCTTTTAAAAATTAATGTTCATATACTTTATGACTGTTTAAGTGGCTGCAATCTGATCAATCTCTTCTTCTTGAAAACCTTTTTTATTTTCTGCAAACAGGTTTCAGTTAATATCTTCTGACAGTATATTATATATTAATAATTATAATTTGTATAGCTATCACTATCTTCCGAATAACTTCAATAACGGTCCCAAATTATTGAGGCCGAAAATACACCCTAACAGGGCCTCAGTCACATGTAAATTGCGACTTAAAGTGCGCACTTCCGGCGACTACCGCCACCGCCGATAGTATCTTCCACGCTGCTAAGCGCGAAGATGATTGGGGCTAAACTGACTAAACTAGATGTCTGGGACTCACGAGCAGCTACCGCATCTCCTGCAGTTTCCTTCATTTTAAATTTTATTTGCTCCCGAGTCCCAGCCATCTAGTTTAGCCTCAATCCACGCCGCTCACAGGGGCATGGGAGATACTCTCTGCTGAAGTCCTCAATTTACATGTGAAACTGAATGAGGCCCTGTTAGGGTATATTTTCAGCCTCAATAATTTAGGACCATTATTCGGAAGATAGCCATTTGTAAATATACAATAATAATCGGCTATCCTTCGAATAACGGTACCAAATTATCAAGGCTAAGACAATACCCTAACAGGGCCTCAATCATATGTAAATTGCGGACTTATTATATGAGACATATCTGGTAATCTGGTAATCCTAGTTTCAGCTTCATAGCAAACGGGTCACCCCACAGATGCTCCGCTCTTGTGCCAACGAAAAACAAACGCAGCTCACACTTCACAGTGTCACACCATGCACTCAACTCAGAAGCTGGGCGACAAAACTACTGTTATGCCAATATATATTGCCAAGTTTTGTATACCATATATTGAATGTATAGAAGTATTTACTTTAATTCTAAGTGATTTGAAGCAAAAACTTTATTGATGAGGCTATGTGAATAAATAAGTATCTGAGACATTTACTAAAATATATGGTGATCAGTATTAGTAGTGTAATTTTTCTTAATATTTCTGACATCAATTGCTGGACTCACTCCTGACTACTAGGTTCCCCAAACTCTCACTTTGGCTGTAGTACAATCTCAGGTGCTGTTATTTTTTTTTATCATTTAGTAGCTTTGAGAATACTTACCATTTGAGAATTCACATTTTTAATGTGTAAATCTCTCATAATATAATTTTTCCTTTAAAAGAACAACACATTAATGGCATACCTTTTCTCTTTGTAATTTGTTTTATTTGTATTTCATTTTTACCATCATGTGTTATTGCTTATCCAAACTAACAAAGAAACTATATTATCAAGGGATTGAGTATTGGACACCAAGGCCCGTCTTACATTCTGGCCTCACCATGTCCATAAATTACTACATTCATACATCACTTTAGCACATAAAATAAGAGAAGCTTGTTACCTAAAGGTAAGGTAAAGATAAAGTCGGTAGATGTGAACCAGGTCATTGCACACGGTTATAAACCATAAGTGCTCTGACACCAGTATGGACAGCTGATAAGAATTGTCCGCCTGTGTCGCCGTTCGCACGTAACTCTGTAGCTACGGCGACGTTCCTCCATTTACCCCAGAGTGTCAACTCTGGTACCCATTTCCTAGAGGCTGGGTGAAACCCGGAAGCTGCCCGGTTTCGAACTCCGACCGTGGGCTGCAGTGAGTCGCAGCTGGATTTGAAAGCAAGCTTCTTATCAACTGCACTAACGTGGCTCACCTGTTCTGGTATATCTTGGTTGACTCTGATGTCTATGAAAAGTAGTATATTGCCAAGTTTTGTATACCATATATTGAGTGTATAGAAGTATTTACTTTAATTCTAAGTGATTTGAAGCAAAAACTTTATTGATGAGGCTATGTGAATAAATAAGTATCTACAACCATTTTGATTATTTTCAGGATTCTGTTCCTGTAGTGTTGACCAGATATTGAGATTATGAAACATGTCTAACTCCAAGAGGACTCACATATCAGCTTACCAGATGTATTCTCAGCATTCAAAATCTAGCCGTCACAGTCGTTCTTCGAGTTCAGATGGTTCACACAATAACCATGAGAGAAAGTCGGTCGATTTGAAAGGAATTAAACGTTCGGACAGCACCAGTTCCCAAGACTTACACATGCGCAGAGAGAAAAGCTATGACTCTGATGATGAAGTTTTAAAACGCCATGCCTCAAAAAGCTCACCTTCAAAAGATCATTCTTCTGAAAAGCATAGATCTCTTAAATATTCGGAACAGAAAGAAGATGTTCGTAAAAAGCAAGCAGAAAATGACAGAAAGCACTCTACCCGATCACTGATGGATATTGACTTCAGTAACACTTCTAAGAGCAGTTTATCGAGGTGGAAAGAGCACACTTCTCATCATGATTTTTCTTCTGAAGAAGAGTCCCATGGACATGTAGACAGGTACAATGACTGGAAAGGTACGAGACGATATAGTAAATATTCTGATTCAGAAGATGAGGGTGACATGTGGCATAACACCAGCAAAAGTAGACGGGCTTGGAAAAATTCATCACCATTAACTCAGCCTTCTGATTATGACTCACAGCCTGCTGCACTTGTAGTTGATATGGTAGACAGACTGCATAACAAAGAGCGCAAAGAGGTCGTCAGGAGACAGTCACTCAAGGCCGAAACCGTTGCTTGAAACTTACATACCACCGCCAACCAAGAAACCAGTAAGTTTGCTTGATTTGCCTAGTGCAGGAAGCAGAAATGGTTCCCGTTATCAAAGGAAATCATTTCATGGCTTTTCATCTTCGGTGCGAAAACCTTTGGTTCAAAACCTCACAGATTCAGAGAGAAAGTTAAATCAGGGTTCTAAAATGTCGCAGTCTTCAAGGAAACGCTCAATACCAGAAGATCAAAAAGAATCACCAGTGAAAAAGTCCAAGATGTCTAAAGTCCAGAAATGAAGCCAAAGACAAGCTAACAGTAATGACAGCCAGCAAGTAAGTCTTTAAACATAAACAAGTATCTAGTCAAGTTAACAGTGTTCTGTTCACATCATCATTCTCTCCTTCTCCTCTTGTGTCATATGGTGCTTACAGATGATTCTTGACTTACACTTGTGTAGTATGATTGAATGTATGCATTGTTTGCCATAAATGCTTTTGTGTTTTTTACTGTATGAGCATAAACTAAATTATGGGTCACAGTTTGAGTCTTGGGAAGTAAAGGTGATTGTCGGGATATTGGCTATATCACTCACAGATTGCAAAAGGATTTAAAATAAAGGAATGAGAATTGTCTTGAGTTGCACACAGGACACCCCAATTAAAATAATGAGGTGATTGCTTGGGCTGACATAGTTAAAGTCTAGACTGAAACTGGCCTTACTAGTGACGAAAGGCATACGCTGCATGGCAATTTGAACGATTTAAGAAAAGACTGGTTGAAAAAAGGAAAGTCAAGGATGGCACTAGCTGAAGATACATCACGCTGGCGGCCTTAGTCAAGCAAATACACAGGGGGCAGGAAGGACCGACACGAACACCCACAACAGCAGTTTCCATCAGGTCATTACAACATTTGGAAGGAAATTTAGTGACTGGTATAACGGTAATGCAGAATTAGAGGTACAACAGTTGATAGATGGAAAGGCTGGACTAGATGATGCTGTAGTGTACACCGATGGTTCTGTTCATCGGGGTGTAAGATCTGGCTGGGATTTTCAGCTAGAATGGAGGGAAGAATTGTGGCAGAACAAAATGGAGCTTTTTTTATCTACAACTTCAAGCATGAGAATGGAATTGGAAGCAATCACTGCAGCTCTGAAGTGAATAGCAGAAAACAAAGTTACCAGAAGAATTATTGTGTCTGATTCTCAGTCGGCATTGCGGAAGGTTCAAAATGGACTAATGTGGCATGAGTGAATACCATGTATACCAACACCAACTTTGCAGGGAATCAGGGGGATATATTGTCTGGGATATGCAGGAGTGTGAGGGAATGAAAGAGCAGCTTTTCTGGCTACAAAAGTGAAAGCTGCGGGAACACTTGTATTTGACAAGGAAGATATTCTGAAGACCATATATGAATGATTTTTGGCAGAAGACACAAGATTAGATAAAATAACGTGGGCAAGAATGTGTGAACGAGGAATTAAGTGTGGATCCGGCAAGGAGGGACGGATGAGAGTAATAGATCAGCATGTGTATAATCAGTGTGCCACCGGAACCGTTAGCATCTACACCTTACATTATTTGCTGCAGGAGACGGAGCATCTGTGGGTATGCCCAGTCTATTCTTTAATCAGTAATCCTTTAAAATATAGAAGGACATTGAGCAGGCTGTGATTTTGTTTCAAATTTTAAAATAGAATCGCTTTATTTGCACACTGGTATCATCAGAAATGCTGTAGTTTTTCATACAAACAGAATCACAACATGCTGCACAAACTCCTTAGCCTCAACAATGGCTGAAATGTGTGCATACTAGAAATTTAGTAAAGGACCATTTTCCTTGCCTTCAGGCGTATTTGGGCATATAGGACTAGAACTATATTTTAAAGACCAATCCAGACTAGGTGGGTGATGTGGTCAATATCACACTGGCTGCCTTTTCTTCTCAGGACTTTACCTGGTACTTATTTAATGCTGGGTGACCTGAGAGCCAGTTATTTATAAAAGAAGCCCTCTCTGTTTGGATATGAACCCACAGCCTTTGGATCCTTGGGTTTGAAGTTGGAGTGTATCTGGATTGTTGCCAGTATTTTTTAAATTAGGGGCAGACACTGCCTCTCGTTTACTTACCCCCAGATAGTAACCCTTTCACCCTTGAGAAGTTGATATTTCATCTTTGCTATCATGAAAAGAGGGAAGGGGTTGTTATGTTTTGATTTTTAAAGTACTTTTTTAGTCACTATGGCACCATAATTTGTCATTCAGATATACCCTATCACTGTAATATGTTTTCACACAATTGGACTGTGTTTATTTATTTTTCAACTCTATTTGCATTTCATTGGTTACTTCCTTTCATAAATTTAGAAACAGATTTTACAATATTTTTAATAAATATTTTTTTGTATATTTGTAATGACACGTGTGGTCATTAAAAATGGTATTTTGGCTAAGAATTCCATAGTTCTGAAGCTATTTTCCCCAAACTGTACCAATAATCCTTTTGGAAACATTTGTCATAAAGTTTCATTTAAGTTAGTGTTTCCTGGTAGAACCATATATATCATACAGAGCTTATAGATGTTTGCTAATGTTGAATTAGTTGTGAAGATCATTAATATATGAAGGATCCTCTCTGAAGATTCAACTTTCTTTAATTTAAAGCATCTGGATTCATATTTATGTTTAATTGTTAGATCAAAATAAATGCAAGAGAGTAAGGTCCGGGCATTGCACAACTCTTCCTCACTTACTTGTTGTGCATCATAATTTGCCCTAGTAAAGAAAGAACCAAAGACAAGTTATAAAGCTCGGCACAGCAAATCCATTTTCAAGTGTGTGTTTTTTTTAGCACCTACTGTTTTACGCCAGGACTATTCAATTATGCTTATTCAAGGGCACAGATGTTGAAAATAGTGATCATTACCGGCCAGAAACTCAAGCCTTACCCTAAAGAGATCAATAATACAATGCAACTGTCAGGGATCCATGACTCACTTGCTAGGTTTCCATGGACCAGATTTGGTCCATGATCCGCCATTTGAATAACCCTTGTCTACACTATTCAAGAACTTTCCTGGCCTCATTGGTCACCTTATACTCTTAATCCCTTAATCTTATTGACCAATGAGTGGTTTTCATCTAAAGTAAAACCTTGTTGACATGAGCTCACTTGAGACAGACACTTGGTTAATATGATCACAGTTTTGACCCAGCAGTGACAGACGTGTGTTAGTATCCTGTGTTAGTATCCGGTTAGCATTTTAAAACTAACTCTTGATTTTTCAGTCTCTTGGAATTTCTGTTATTTCAAGATATTAATTCCCCTCTCAGTCTTCAGCTCAGTTCCAGTTCCGATGGTACCAGTAACAGCCTGATTGTATGTTAATCGTAGCCGTTTACTTGTACCAACCGTTTTATAAAATGACCAATTTCATAATTCTTGTTATATCTGCAATGAAATAGGTTATGAAAAAAATTATGACTTTCTGCTCTGCAGAATTAATGTTATCAAGAGCAGTGAGCAAACATATTTAGTCATACCTTCCGGGCTGCCAGCACTCTATCTTCATGGCCGAGGCAAGATCACAGTGCTGATGGGCAGCGTAAACATTCTGGGTTGTGAGCTGCGAAGCAAATCTTCCTATGATGTTTACTCCCCGACCTCTGGCAGCCTGCTAGCAGTCCAGGTAGCAGGTGATACTAAATTCAAAGCTGCTGAGGTGAAAGCAGAGCTCTCAAAGTTGGGCGTAATGGAAAATGACAAAACTGTAAGCTTTTCATGTTGTTAAACTGTGACTCGTTGTCTCTGTAAAGTAAAGGAGCCTTTTCCACATCTTCAGGCTTAGTAGACATATAGTGCTGGAACTATTTTTTATAGACCAGTCTGCCCTTGGTAGGTGATGTTGTCAGCATCACTTCCCAGAATCCTTCAAGACTGTCCCATATTCAACGCTTTCAGGCAAAACATTTGGCCAAAAGAGACACTTGTGGAAGTCAAACTTTACGGGCCGCTTAGTGAATTACAAAAGACAGTGAAATTCATACAAGAGACGGCTTTGCAGATATAGACAATTTATTTCATGCGAACGAAAGAAGAAGAAGAAGAAGACTTCCCAGAAGTTTACCTGGGACCCATTTAAGGCTGGGTCGACCTGGAAGCCAGGGTCATTTCTGAAAAAAAAAGAGAGAAAAAAGTTCTGGCTCTGTTCTGATTTGAACCAGTGACATACGGATCCGGAAGTGTGTGTCAAGCCACTACAGCACAGCGGCTTCCCATTGTTTCGGTAAGTACAGTAAAGGTATCTCTTCACAGCTGTGGACACTGTTGGTATATGGTGGTGCTAGTCCCTTATGTTTATAGACCACCCGGCACTTGGTGGGAGATGCTGTCGTCACCATTTATTTCCCATGATTTTTTAATGGTACTTATGCTAATTTAGGTCTACCTAGGAGCTAATGTATGTTTTAACCTTTTCGACCCATACAAGTCTTAAAATGACTTTCTGAAAAATTTTGTTTCAAAAACGCATCCTCAGAAACTCTGTCCTAAGAGACTAGAAGAAAGGGAAGACATTTGGAGTCTTGTAAGTTTTTATAAGTATTCCTAGACTGCGGAGAAGACAGGCAGACTTGAAGTCTTCTGCTTTTTTTTTTTTTTTTTTTTATGTTACTTAAAAATTGTTAAAGGGAAATTTTTCAGACTTTAAATGTCTAAATCAGGAAAAAATTTATTTCTGCATCAAGGACAGTGATCACTAAATACAAACGGAACAACAAATCAACTAATTTCCTTTCCTGTGACCAAGCTTAGGTCGCTTTGCCACGGAGAGCAATGCAACGTAATAGTGAAATTATGTGATGTCACCGTGAATCCACAGTTTTTACAAGTCTGTTTTTTCACCCCAAATTTTCTTCTTCTTCTTTGTGTTCGGTTTTGTATGCATAGAGCAGACCATCAGGTGGGTTGCCTCTATGAACTCGCATGTCAACAGCGGGTCCTTCATGGTTTCTCATAGCTTGCTCTGCACACTTTGCTTTTGATGCCTCGTTTCTTTTCGAAGTTGTTAGTAGCATAGGCAGGTCTGCAGAATGTGCTCAGGTGTTTGTGGTTCTGTCTGACAAGCACACTGGTGGGCTTTTTACGCATGTGTAATAATATCTAACTAGTTGTGAGGATACATATAAGTATGTACACCATATCTACACACTTTGTAGTGCCAAAGTTGTTATACAGGTCTACCTGGCACTGTCCAAAAACATGTCAACCAAAAGCTGTACAAGTTGGTAAAACTGCTTTATTGTTGTGAGAGGGTTAAAATCCCCTGGAGATTCAAGCTTATGGCCACCTGACGAGTGGGGTAGCTACTATGCCCTCCTCCTGCCATTGTCTCTGAAGTTTAGGAAAATATGTCAGTTCTCAGCTGAAAATCATTTATAATCTTTTTCTTAAATTGTAGTGCAGAAGTTAATTTTTTTAAAATGTATTTAATTTATTGTTGGCGATCAACTCTTTAGCCACAGAACATGCTGTGCAACTTTGTGTGTGTGTAGAGGTGAGTTTCTTTAAAGAAATCAGCATGTTATGGATAATTGTTTTTGGAAGGTTAACTGCCTCTTCAGCAATGAATGTTGTCTGTGGTGTCCGCTGCTGTCTTTGGGAATATTGCATAGGGAGGCCCCAGACTCTTCACAGTGCGACTCTTGAACCACTGCCCAAAAGCTCCAGAATGGTCCATCTAAAACAAAATGTCCACCCTGGGTATTGATCCCTAATACATTGAGGATACAAAATGATGACACATACTCATTAACCTATAAGTACTTTTGTCTTAATTCAATTGTAACATAAAGTCTTTTTTGTTGAACTCACAGTTTGAGTGTATTGGCAACAACACCATTGCAGTCATCATGGTGGATCGTCTGGAGTCAGCTCTGTGTGACTACATCACCAGTTTCATTCCCTACACTCAGCTGTTCATCGCCACTCCAGCTTGGGACATTGAGCCATCTGAGCTGAAAGGTGTGACACTGCCAAAACTGGGGTTGAAGTTGACACCGCAGAAGGAGATGGTGCCAGCATGCATGAATCTGTCACAGGACCTGGAGACTGTTCTCACCAAATGGACAAATCTTCTGTCAGGCAGTGCTGAGGGTTTGTTTTTTCATTTATACTTTGTTTCTTGTTCTTTTTTTTTTCTTACTCTTTTAAAAAATGCACTTTTTTTCCTTATGCTTCTTTTTCTTTTAAACTATCATTCTCATTCAGCAGGTCCTCTACAGAACCTCACTCTCATCATGTCACGCTTGAAATTCTGTAGCCAGTTCTTCAACCCTGTGTGCTATCATAACCAATGCATCTTTAGATTTGCTTCTGCCTCATTTTCTGGAAACTACTCTCCGTAGTGGGGACAGGATGCTGTTTATGAGCCAGTTCTCTGCAATGTTCCGAACATATAAGATGCCCTGGTTTTTTTCCTTTTTTGTGGTATTCTTTGAATTTGTCTGTAGCATTTCAGTTCAAAAGCTGTAAGTAATAATGTTTGTTTGTCCTACTTTTCTGTTTCTGGCCTATTTTGTTTTGGATGCTCCTACAAAGAATCAGATACTTTTGTTTTTAGCTTTTTTGTTTTTTTTATTTTTCTGACTACTTTATACAGTAAAAGCTTAGTATGACTGTGAATGATGCTGATGTAGGAATGTTCTTTTACATTTACCCTGAAAGGGGCACTTACTGTATTTTGTAGTTTACAGCTAGGCTGCAAATCTGGATTTTTCAGCCCAATGCATCAGCTTTTAGCAAAACCCTAATTAGTGGCCTTGTACAGCATGCTTTTTAGAAGGGCAGGGTCTGTTCTTTCTCTTGAATTGCTGCAAGCACAGACCATCATGATACTGTGGCTTCCAAATATATAAGTTGATTAACACAATGTGGTAAATTTTTTTTTTTTTAAAGGCTAAGGTTGAAGCATCTGCTTACATTTGTTGCAAGTTTTTTTATTTTCCTTCGTCTGGCTTCCAAGTTACAGGTTGTTTTATGGTAAAGTTTATACTCCATAATGTTTGTACAAGCTTACACCTCATGTTGGTACAAGCTTTCACCTCATAATGTTTGTACAAGTTTATATCTCATAATATTTATACAAGTTTACACCTCGTAATGTGAATGCTAATTTCACTGCTGCCTTTCCAGCCAAAAGAGGGCCTATTGTGCTGTGTACTGGAGCAAAAAATACTGGGAAGTCCACTGTGAACCGGATGCTTATAAACACAGCTTTCAAAAGGTAATGCTGAGTTTTATCATAATAGTGTGAATGTGTGTGTATGTATATATATATAGATACATATATATAGATATATATGGTTACCTGGTTCTTAGCCTCCCTTGCCTCCTGACATCATGGCCGTTTTTGTGAAGCCAGCTCAGTCTCAGTGTCTCTGTTTCATTCTATTACAACTCTAAGGTATTTGAACTGGTTAACCTGCTCCAGTTCATACTGTCCCACCATGATCTGATGTTTCTTCTCCTCTCTTGAGATTACCATTGTTTTAGCTTTTTAAATACTGATGGTCATCCCTCTCTTCTCAAGCTCTTCCTTTTAGACAAGGTGGATTGAAGGTTGCCTCTGATTTAGCTATCAGAGCCACATCTTCTGCAAATGCCAGCTCTGATACACAGATTGGTCTCATCTTCCAGTACCCTACTGAGTACTTTGTTGTCTTCTCCTTACAGATCCTAATGACATCATCCTTCATAGGAATGAAGAGGTAAGGTGAGAGAATATCACCTTGTCGAACACGGCTAGTGGTCCTTAATTCTTCTGACTTTTGGTCTGCTCTTCTTACATAATTTCTGCACTTTTGTAGAAATTCTACATTGCACTGATCAGGGGTGCTAAGATATTTTTTTTTCCTGCCAAGCAGTTCCAAAGCTTGCTCCAGGAGACATTGTCAAATGCCTTTCCTAGATTTAAAAAAAAAACAGGTGCATCTAACTCTTATATTCAATCTCTCTTATATTCAAGAGCTTTTTCACTCATCTGTCTCAGTGTGAAGTCCCTAGGTTAGCCTACAATTTTTCAGCCCCTTGAAATTTGTGTTAAAAATGCTTTACTGTAATAATATTATTTCTGAGGTGAGCACTAAAAAATGACTGTTCTTTACCCCACTGCACAATTTGGTATGCTGTGCTATGAACATTTTTTAAAAATAGGACAGGCGGCACTTGATGGGAGATATTTCAACAGATCGCTGGTAGCCTTTACTTCACAGAGTATTTCCTGGTGCCCATTTTAAGCTAGGTCAACCTCGGAACCCAGGTCATTTGTTTAATAAAAATTCTCCTCCATCCCGTCCCATCATATGAATTTGAACCCAAGACCTTCGGGCCAGCCGACAGGCATCTAGTCACTGTGCAGAAGCATGGTTATGGGAAGGAAAATTGTTTGAGAACAAGACATGATGATGATTGATACAATTTTACAGGCAAATAACCAGTACATTAGTCATTTCTGTGTCCAGCATTCAAATAGTCAGTGAAAATAAAACAGCATTGATGAGGAGAGAATAGATTGATGAAAGTCAGTTGGATATAAAGAGCCAAAGAATATAGTTAGCACTGGGCTTGATAATGATGAGTGATGATCATTCTTCTCTTAGACTTATTCTTCATGGTCACCTGCAGTAAACTCCTTATCCCTGAGGGTTTCATGCACATCTGTTTCACATATGTGGCTTATCTTTGTGTAATATGTAGACTTTTGGTTCCTTACCTCTCAGGCAGATATACTCCGACTGCAAAGGATGCCCCTAATTAGTCAACTCCCATGACCTGCTTGATGGGGAGGTAGTGGGTCTATTCTTGTTTTGCCCACAATGTGGTTCTAGAACCCACACAGAGAGTGATGATCATTCAGTACAGTGAGACCTCATTAACACGAACTTTCTTAGAAAGAGCGCTCAATTAGCATGAGTTAAATGTTGGTTCACGAGGAGATAAGTCAAAGTGTCCGAGCAAGAAACAGATCTGTGTAGGGCTCTAATCACTTTAGGTTGTGAGTGCAAGGACTGACCAGCTGGTGCTGCAGAATCAGAAGTTCAACAAATGATTCATGACAATTCCCGCTCAGGTGATGTGATTATCTATACAGATGGCTCTGTGTTGAGAGGTAGGTGAAGTGCATTGGAGGTTCATAGCAAAAGCAAATGGATGTCGCTTAGTGCAGCAGAGCCTGGCATTTGATATCACAATGTCTAGTTTGTTAATGGAGGTGAGGCAGTCACTGATGCCTTTCACTGGCTTGAGAATCAGCTGTACACACATGTTGTAATTTTTACTGACTCACACAGCATGTTGAGAAAGATGGAGACAGGCATACTCCATGCAGAGTGGCAAGCATCACTTCAGAGGTTCTGGTTAGTTAGCGTCCTTTGAATATTTTCTCCAGGTCATGCTAGTCTGTTTGGAAATGAGCAGGCAGATAGACTGACCGGGTCTGCCCCACTTGGTGGTGATTGATGTATGACAAGCTAGATTGTTGTGTGGGCCCTCTGGGAATGAGTGAACAGTGCAGAGACACATGTAGATCATCATGGTCTGAAGAGAATGCATCTAGTTTTTTTAAGTGGTTTTTTAAACAGTTGACCTTAGTTTCCAGATCGACCCTACCTAAAATGGGTATCAGATAATGTCCTGGGAAGTAGAGGTGACCTGCTTGATGTTGAACACATCACTATCAAATGCTGATTGGTCTAGCACTGTGTACGAAAGGCGTGAAAAGGGTCCGAAAGCTTTTTTAAGTAAGCTTGTCAGGGCACTTTTGATCTGAAGGAAACGTGTTTCCTTGAATGGTGTAATGTTATTTGAAGTGGAGAGTAGGGAATTATGTGTGCGTGTGTTTATGTTTTTGTTCCAAAAAATGCTTGGTACACATCTTTTTTTTTAAATGTGAAGACAGTGTGGATGTATAAAAATATTGCTCAGGTATTGGACAGAATTCTGGTACCTTGTGTTAAGGCAGGAGATCAGCATCAGGTGCCTCAAATAGTTTGGCAATTTTGTTGGAGTGATCATCTGAAAGATGGCTGAAGGTTGAGTTATGCAGCCTTGTGGATGTGGAAAGCAAGGGGAGACTGCCATGTTATATATCTCTAGAAAGATTACTTTCAGGCATCATTAGCGAGCAGGTTGCCCTTTGGCTCGCCAGTAGACGACTTTGTCGCCTGTAGGGACAGTATTTGGGTCAATCTCATTTGATCATTTCAGCACTGCAGGGATCATTTTTCTGGGCCCTTGTTGACGTGCAGGGCTAAGCCATTTTATATGACGCACATAACCTGGTCACAATTATAAACTTAAACCCCCTTTGGGGAGGTGAGTTTACATGACGATTTATTTTTCCTTGAGCAAAAGACCAAGCACTTTCAGGCATGCCATGATGATACCGACATTCTGCAAAGGACCTGCTGAATAATGATGATGATAATGATGTTAGAAAATAGCAACACAAATAGATTGATGACATTACTGACATTGTGTATGCACACTGAATGGCTAGTAACAGACTCTGAAAGCATGCTGAGAAAGGTGAAGACAGGGATGCTTCGAGCAGAGTGGCAGGCTGCACTTGCAAGGTCACGGGTAGTGAGCATACTTTGGATCTTTTCTCCAGGCTATCCTGGCGTAGTGGATAATGAACAGGCAGACAGATTTGCTGGATCTGCACCACTGGGTGGTGAATTGATGCATGACAAGGCAGATGTGGTCAAGGCCCTTTGGGAACAAGCAACGGAATCAGTAGAGAAAAAAGATTAATGGCTTGGAGAGAATGAGGCACCTGGGTGTGAAATAGAGGGTCTGGTCGGCTCACTACACTCAGAGGAAAGGCAAGACGGACAAATAACCAGATTGTGATCAGTACCATCAGTATTGGAACTCTGGCTGCCTGCTGAAGATAAGCACGGAGGGCACATGGGAAAGCCCCGAGTACTGTAATGTCAATTCTTGACTCAACAACTCAACTGGATGGCTGTAGTCAGTGCCACCCATTAAATGCTGGACCACCAGCTGTTATTCCTATTAATCTAGACAGCAAAAGTGGATTATGATGATTATAATGATAATGATCAGATGCCTGTCTCCTGTAGTGTGTAAAAATAACAGTTTCCACAAAATATTGTCTGTATGTGACGCTTGAAGCAAAAACAGTTTTCACGTATACGTAGCATAAGTTACAGATTATAACTTATTACCATAGTACACATTATGGGGTATATTTTTCCCTTAAAAACACACATGCCTGTGCATAAGAGCTGCCATGGTGTAGGGGCTAGTTGAGAAAAGTAAAGATCCCTTTTCACACCTTTAGGTGCATCGGGCATGTTAGAAAAACACCCATATTTTTACAGACTGCCCTAAATAAGTACCAAATTAGGTCCTGGTAGGTAAATGCAGCCAGAATAATGTTCACCACATTATCCACAGAGTGCCGTTTGGTCTATAAAATATAAGTCTAGTACTGTATACCCAGTGTACCCAAAGACATTGAATAGGGTCCTGCGTGTGGGTGTGTGTGTGTACAGGTATGTGAATATTGACCTTCATGTTACCTCTTATTGTGTCTGTTTTTCTGATATCAAATTCGTGTTCTACTTTTGTGTGCTTGTCTGTTTCAGCGTTAGTAGTATTGCTTACCTCGACTGTGATGTAGGCCAGACCGAATTCTCACCACCTGCTACCCTGTCTCTTCATGTCCTCACACAGCCAGTACTAGGTTTGTGGATTTATGCAAATATAATCTCAGCTAATAGCCCTTTATCATAGGTGCTAGTATTCATGTTTGTCAAGGCAGTGATGGCCCAAGTTTGATCATCAGACTGGCTTAAATGTTTTCCTGCTTTGGAGGCAACTATTTCTAATAAAATGGATACCAGACTATTTGTATAATTGTCTCGGAATAAAATGAACTGTTTATTCCACATGCGGTGAGTTACCAGGGGATCTGGGAAGAGGTATATACAGTTAGTTAGACAGTTAGTGGTACCATCGGAATTGGAACTATTTCTTGCTGCTGAAGATGGTGACAGACCACTTATGAGGATGTCCCGAAGTGCTGTCTTAATTCAACATTCAACATCTTTTGGTTATTCCATCTTTTTAAGCTATTGCCTAGAATATGTGAAAGTTAAATGTGGCTTCATACCCAACTGAATGGATAATTATGCCTCCTTCTCCAAACATTAATATTACAGTCCATATCACACTTGACGGAAGCTGTAGAGAGCAGATTCCTGGCATTGTTGACACTTTAGTCAGAACACTGATTTACGACAACACAGATGAAGGTGATGCTGTAGTTTACACAGATAGGTCAGTAATTAGGGGCAAGCGAAATGCATGGGCATTCACTGTAAGCTCAAGGGAGAAAACCATCAAGGAGATAAATGGCACCTTGCTGTTACAACTGGTAGCCTTATAGTGGAAACTGGCTGTAACAAGGGCATTAGCATGGCTTGGTACTCAAAAGTTCACACACATATGCATTCTTAGTGACTCGCTGAATATGCAAAAAAAAAAATTGAGGCTAGATTTATCAGGCAAGAATGGTTTGCAATACTAGGCATTTCACGATCAGGGTATGTGGGTGTTCAAGGGAATGAGCGTGCAGACTATCTTGCTGACACTGTGGTTGCTATTACTGATCCAGTACTGGACAGAAGTGTTGTTATCAGTGCCATGCCCTGCACTTACCGCACCGAGGAGCACGCCAAAGGACATGACTCCATATCCCTGTCTAGGCTGATGGACATAGGGGTGCAGCCTAGAGCAACAAGAAATGAAAATTTCACCAAGGGGCAAGACATTTCATTAAACACAGAATAGGCGTCATCAGCCATTTTACACTTGAGGAGATTTTGAGGAGGAGATCGGAGCACCTATGGATCTGTCCAGAGTGCTGTGATGATAATCCTTTCTAATCACTAGTCACTCGCACCCAACCTCAAATCCTGCTGAGGGAGTCATTTTACGTCTCTCTTTCTCAGTTTTGTTTTTACTCTAGAGACTGCATGGTGAAATGATCAAGCTGTTTGTCTCATGCTTTGAAGCTTTGGGATTCTTTTTACTAATGTATATTTTCATTTTAACAGTGCAGTTTTTACACAAATTCCTGGGGTTGCCACTGGAGTTATCCAGTGTGTACTTTGTGCTATGATGTCAGCTAGCTCTGCAGCGTGACCTAGCCATTTGGAATAACTCACAGTCAAGTTGATCCTCTTGATGTTCTTCTTCTTCTTCTTCTGCTGCTTCTTCTTCTTTTGTCATCTCACTGATGCTAGATTGTAGCCCAATGTCTTGATTTTCTGTATTTGTCTTTTGCTTCTTGAGTGGCTTGAGTGATGGCTTTTTTTGATCTTTTTGCTGGTTTCAGCTACACCATTCATCCATACCTTTCTTGGTCTTCCTCTCGCCTTCCTCCCAGATTTTTTACTGTAAAAAGTCTCATATGCGGTTTGGTTTGGCTGCATTCTCTCTAGATGGCCAAACCATTTCATTTTTTACCTGTCAGTATAATCCAGACATGGTCTTATTCCAACTTTCTCTCTAATGCTGGTATTCGTAATCCTGTCTCGTCTGATGTTGTTAGTGACCTTGTGGAGACCGCGCTTTTCAAATGTGCTTATTTTCTGTTCTAGTGCCTTATTCTTTGTCAGTGTTTGGCACTGATAACATAAAGTAGTGGTAAAGATGCTATAAATCATTTGCTATTTTGCTGGAAGGGATATGTTTGCTGTCTAAGCAGTGGTGCTAACTGGTAGGTGACAGCATTTGCCTTCTGTACTCTAGCTTCTTTCTCTTTGTCGAGTCTGCCATCCTCTGTAAATATGCTTTCTAGATTTTTGATTTCTCGTATTTGTTTGATTGTAGTACCATTAACATAAACGTCCATGATATTATGTTTCCTTCCCATCCTGATTACCTCAACTTTCGTCATGTTTATTCTCATGTCATAATTTGTGCAGGCTTGATGTAAGGAGTCAGTATGGTAAGTCAGAGTGTAAATACAATTCTTACATGCAGATGAAATTATTTGCATATCCTTGACACAACGTTGCAGAACCAACTCTAACATATTTTGACTGTTGGGGTTTTCTAGGTAAATTTTACATTCAGTAGTTTGCTATTGCTTACTGAACGGTACTACGTCGAAACCAATGCGAGACAAACTGTCCACAGCTGGGATCGAACTCGGCCCCCAGGCATTGTGAGGCTCATTTGCAGTGTCAGAGCCACAAACGCTTAGATGTTCTTGGTCAGAGAAAATGCAGAAACGGTTACATTTATGAAATAATCTATTCAAGCAAAGAAACTCCAAAGAATAATGAAAACATTTCACTATCTACATTTGCTTACAAAACGATAACCTTTTTTTTATGACAATCCTTATTTTTATTTCACCTTCTTGTCATAGTGATGTATTGCAACTTCAGTGTAAGGAATTTTTTTTTTTTCAATTTATCATTTCAGAGCCACCATTCTGCCATCAGAGACATGCTGAAAAGTAAGTCTGAAGCACGCAGTTAAATTCTTTAGTACAGTTTTATAGGAGAAAGGCATGTTTTGGGTATAATGGCAGGCATTGCCTCAAAGGTCCCCAGTAGTTAGTTTCTTTTATATCTTTTCTCCAGGTTATGCAGGTGTGTTGGGAAGTGAACAGGCACACAGATTGGCAGGTACTGCATCGCTGAGTGATGAATTGATGCATGACAGGCTAGATATGATTAAGGTCTTTTGAAAGCAAGGAGAAATGTGGAAACGCAAATAGGTCATTATTGTCTGTAGAGAATGGTACAGCGGAGAGCAACCAGAGGATATAGCAGACACTAAAAACTCAAAGGAAAGTCAAGAAGGACATATTTAGTCAGTCTACTGCTGGTATAATCAGAATTGAAACTCTGGCTGCTGAAGAAGGGGTTAAAGTGCTTATGGAAATTTCCTAAGGGCTTGATGTTGGTTCTCTGTCAATTTGTTGGGCTATTGTTTTAGTTCTCCATGTTTCTTTTTCCATACAACAGAATTAATCTTATTTTTAAATTAAAAATTCTAAGTTTGGTACTCATTTATTTTCCTTTAACTTCCAAATTGTAATTGATTTATCATTTACCTTCTCAGAATGGTGTTTTATGGGGAAACAACACCAAACTATGACCCAGATTTGTATGTCCAGTGCCTGAAGTTCATTGTTGAGGCATACCGTGAGTTGAGGCCACAGTTGCCCCTGATAGTGAACACTATGGGATTTCTGGAAGGTAAACATTCATTCTTAATTACTCCAAATCATAATCATCTGTCCACTGAAGCTTGTCTTTAGAAAATTTTATTTTTTATATATGTCTGATGAAGTAGATACATTTTTTATGTGGGAGTGAGTTGTCATCTGTTACGGAGTACCTGTTAACGGGCGGTGTGTGTATTCTTGTTCTATCAAAAATTGGATGGCGGTACCCACACGGAGAGGCGAGCTAACACAAGTTTCATTTTAACTGACTGCATATGTCATACATGATTAATCATTGTCATGTGCTGTGTCTGTAAACACAGGCTGTCATGTTTTGCCAAATCACAAGAATCATAGATCAGGTCAGTGTTCTTGTGTCAGGTATTTATCTCTGTGCCTTCCTGTTGCTATCTTCCCCCCCCCCCCCCCCCATCAGTAATGTTTTAGTTGTTTTTTCGATGACTGCTTCATTTTTTATCTTGTCAATTCTTTCTCATAACATGCACCCCCCCCCCCCCCGCGATCCCCCCCCCCCCCCCCCCCCAAAAAAAAAACATGCCCTCTACATCTAATTGTTTTAAGTTTAGGACTTTTTCGATGACTGCTTCATTTTTTAGTCTGTCACTCCTGGATGCTATTCTCTGCATTCTTCTTAACAACTACATCTTTGTCAAGGGTTATTTTTTTTTTGGGTGAGTATCTTTTGCATTTTGCTGCAAGCCACTTTTATACCATCGCGATTCTGTGATGTTGACAGTTAAAAGATAGTTATGTCCATTGACTCGCTGAAAAATTTTGCATTTGCCTGTATTTTATACTTTATTTATATCTTTTCTGGTGATGACTATAGAGTTCTGTTTTCTTACAATTTAACTATCGCCTAATTTTTAGGTGTGAACTGTCAACATCCACTTAACACTACAAATCCTTGGGCATGACTCAGGAGTGTTAGTATGGGACTGACTGTCTCCTGCCATAGATGACGTTAGCTGTACTATCCAAGCAGTTATCAACAGCATAGGGATTTATATTGGCCTAGGTTAACCCAGCCCTAGATAGGTACCAGACAGTGTACTAGGAAGGCTTCTTCTGCTTCTTCTTTGTGGTCACCAGCTGTAAACTTTGGCAGACAGTTCTGAGTGTTTATCCATCTCCAGACATTGGTCTTGTTCCAGAATCTGAGTATTGCGTGCACATACGTTTCACACCTCTGACTTGTTTGTATGCAGACTCTTAATTCCTTGTCTTGACTCTTGGTTCCTTGCCGCCTCTCAGATAGATACACTCCGACTTTGAAGGGTGCCCTTACTTTGTCAACTCCTGTGACATGCTTGGGAGGCAATGGATCTGTTCTTGTTTTTCCTATCATGGAGTCTGGGAAGCTACACAGGGAATACTGGGAAGTAAAGGCAGCCAGTGAGAAGATGTCACATCACCCATTGAGTGCATCTTAGTCTGTTGAAGCAAAGTCTAGCATCATTTGCCCAGTGCACCACTGGGGTTAAAAGGATCATTTACTTAACTGTGCTTCTGTTTCTGGGGGGGGGGTGGGGTTTTGCGGTAGCATAATGGTTAAATACTTGCCTACCAGGCAACAGCGCTTAGGTTCAAATCCGCATGAAGACAATTGTTTTTTCCTCTAAAATTGACTTGGCTCTCAGGTTGACCCCTTCTAAAATGGGTACCATGTAATGACCAGGAGTGTAAAATGTGGCTGACATGTTGTTGACTACATCACTCGTTGAGTACTGATTGATCTATAAAAAATATGAATATAGTGTCATAAATCATTTGTCCAATGGACCACTGGCAATAAAGAAGGGTCTTTTTTTTGAAAAAAAAATTATGTATAGAAAGATGAAAAGCAGAACATAGACATATTGTAGGGGAAATGTCACCAATTTCAGTAATTACTTTGTACTTGAGCCATACTTCTTCCTTATTGTGTTGCATTGCTTGTGAACAACTACTTCTGTGTTTTGACAATAAGCAGTTTGTTGTAATAATAGAACATTCCCTCTCTGGACAGTTTAGCACTTAGTTGTGTGTTCATGTCTTGTCATTGCATTGATGTACAAGCTAGGTGTGGTCAAGGCCCTTTGGGAGCAAGTGAACAATGCAGAAGAGTGAATAATTCATTATGGTCTGAAGAGAATGGTACCGCAATGGATGGCTACGGGGATTTGGCCTAGACTTAACACTTAGAGGAAAGGCAAGAAGGACATACAGTCAGACCTGCTGATGGTACAGCAATGGATGGCTGCGGGGATTGGGCCTAGACTTAACACTTAGAGGAAAGGCAAGAAGGACATACAGTCAGACCTGCTGATGGTACAGCAATGGATGGCTGCTGGGATTTGGCCTAGACTGAACACTTAAAGGAAAGGCAAGAAGGAACGTACAGTCAGACCTGCTGCTTGTACGATTGACATTGGAACTCTGCACATGGCTGCTGAAGATGTGAACAGAGGGCTTATGGAAATGTCCTCAGTATTTTGATATAAGATGTCCTAATGGTTTAAGGGTTGGTTCTTAACTCATGAGTTCAAGCCGTTATGTATGCCGATGATCTGGCGCTACTGAGTTCAGAGGAGGACACTGAAAAAGCACAGACAAGGCTTCAAGAATCCCTCGGAACTCTAGAGAGGTGGTTCCAATAGCTGGTACATGCCTGTAAATGGGGCCAAAAACACACACACACCATTTTCAGTCTCTCTACCAAACCCCAGAAAGTTTCACTTAGATATGGCAGCCAGGCACTGATACATGATGACTCACCGTCATATTTAGGAGTAACCTTTGACTCAAGACTCACATGGAGAAAACAGATAGAAAAGACACAGAGCAAGGGACTCAAGAGAACACAACTGATGAGGAAGTTAGCTGGAACAGACTGGGGGGCAAACCTCAATGTCTTAAGAGGGACCTATACAGGCTATGTGAGGCAACACTAGAATATGGAATAGCTGCTTGGGGCACAGCAGCTAAATCAAATTTTCAGAAAGTCTCAAAGATCCAAAACCATGCTCTCCGTATTATGACAGGGGCAATGCGCTCGACGCCCATATCAGATATGGAAACAATTACTGGTCTCCATAATCTGGAAGATAGGAGAGACACAAAGATCCTCACCCACTCTCCAAATACCACCACTTTCAAGAACAACCCATGTACAGCCGACTACAGAAACCCCAGAAGTCTAGACTAAAGAGAACTTGCTTTATTAAGAACGCAAATGCCAAGCTCGCTGTCCTTAAACTCCCTCCCATAATACCAAATGTTCCACTTAAACCTTACAACGACTGCCCCGCTTGGCTTAGGGATAGCCTACCAACAGTCAGAACCACTGTAACAGGGGTCTCCTCCAAATCATCAATGAGCAGCACTGATATGAAATCAACTACAGAACGAGAGATCAATAGACTTTACCCACACCAGAGTTGGATTCGAGTGTATACAGATGGTTCAGCCAAGAGAGCAGTAAGAGACGGAGGAGGAGGGAATATACATAGAATGCCCAAATGGTTTTAAAATCAACCAGGCTGTACCAACAGGTTCATATTCCTCCAATTACAGAGCAGAGACAGAAGCACTTCTAGGGGCATGTTCTTTCCTGAATGGACAACAGCACAGCAAATATAGCAGAGTGGTCTTTCTGACTGATGCTATGTCAGTTCTATAAGCAATTGTTAACCCAAAAAACACTCAGTTTGTAGACTTGACGCAACTGCTGATTTACTTAAGCTCTTCAGTAGAACAATCTGTACTGCAGTGGATTCCAGGTCACTGTGGCTTGGAAGGCAATGAAATAGCGGACAGATTGGCCAGAAGCGGCAGTGACATGGTACAACCAAATAGCGACTTAACCCACCAAGAGATGAAAACACTAATACAATCTAGTATCCAAGAAAGGTGGCTGGATACCCACAACAGATTTTCTCCCCAAGACTCACTTCATCGCCTCTCTAGAGAGGGACAGTCTATTATATTCAGACTAAGGACTGGACACAACAGATTTCGTCAACATATGTTCAAATTTTTCGGTGTAGGAAATACGGAGACGTGTCCCTGCAGTGTGGCACCCGAAAATGCTGAGCATGTGCTCCAACACTGTCAACTGTATGCTGACAACAGAGACGCAATCTGGCCTGTTCCAACCACAATGAAGACAAAACTGTATGGTACACGAGAGGATATAGATTGCACGATAGCTTTCATAAAGGCTACCGGCCTCCTGATACAAGTTTTCTGACAGAAGGATCGAAGAAGAAGACCAGGCAGCACCCACTTTGTCCAAATTGCTATTTTAACTCGTTGCATTGTAAAGTGCTATCTTTTTCTTCTATGCATTAACCGGCTGTAAACTCCGGCAGAAAGTTCTGGTTGTTCATCCACCTCTGGACTTAGGACTTGTTTCAGAACCTGAATGTTCTTTGCACTTGGGTTTTACAGATCTGTCTTATTTGTATGCAGACTGTTAGTTCCATACCTTTAAAGATACATTCTGACTTTGAAGGAAACCCCCCAATTAGTTGACTCTTATGACATGCGTGTTGGGGAGGCAGTGGGTCTGTTCTTGTTTTCCCCAGGAGTGGGCCCTGGAACCCACTAGGGGGTTAAAGTGTCATTATTTTTAACTTTTCAGAGCCAACAATTTCTTACTTCAATTAGGAATTTTCTAGAAAATAAATTGAATTAAAATAACATATGCTTAGTACTGAAAGAGTTACTACACACCTGTTGGAAAACTGTATTGTCTTTGATCCACAGGGGCTGGTTTAATGTTGCTGATTGACACACTACATTTGGTGAAGCCTGACTTGGTGGTACAAATTGAAAGTTTCAACCCGTCAGCAAACCTGCCTCCAGTAACTCCAGAGTTTGTAGCTTCCGAGGAAGGCTGGATGTTCACTAAAACCGCAGTACTTGGCTTTTTATTTAAAAATTGTTTACACAGTTCTCTTACTTCTTGATATAAACACACACATACACACATAGAATCAACATACAATTTGTCATCAAATGTTAGCAAAGTTCCTGTCCAAACCAACTCATAAACTCTTTATTTAAGTAAATAATAATAGATGCAGTGTCTCCATTATTCCTAGCTTTCAAAATGGCTGTAAACACCAGCCTGGGATTTTCCCTGAGATAAATGGCCCCATATGATTTGTGCAAAGACCTGTTACAATTGATGTACTGCATAAAAAAATGTCTCTGCTTCTGCATATTATGGATGTTGTCATATAGAGTGATGCTGGAAACATTTACTACCCTTTGACTTCAAGTCTATATGTCCATCTGGAAAACCAAATTCACAAATCTCACATCGTATCTCAATTGGTTGTGTTAAATCGAATGTGATTTTACCAGTAACTGTTTATTCTGCTCTTTAACACAAAAATAATGATACCATTCTGGATTGGCACAAGTGTCATTGTTGGTAGGAACCACAAATGAAAGATAGATCTGCTGCTCTGGGTGGTGAGCTACTTTATAAGGGATAATGATGAGGGCTCTCGGGGGTCAGTTGGATTGTGTAACAAAATAGAATATCCATACCTGGAGAGACTGATGCAATGAGGAGGGAGCAAAGAGTCTGAACAACACAAGGGAAAGACGTTCAGGTTGCACTGGACACTATTAGCATGTGGAGTTTTTCACTGATTGCTGAGAGGAGGAACAGAGATGGGAATGTCATGAGTGCAGTGATGTGAATTCTTGTTTTATTCACAAATTAAACATTGCCGGAAAAAGTGTTCTTCTTCCTCCTCTTCTTCTTCGCGTCCACCAGCTGTAAACTCTGGCGGAAAGTTCTGGTTGTTCATCCACTTCTGGACTGCAGCCCTATTCCAGAACCTGAGTGTTGCGTGTGCATCCGTTTTACAGACCTGACTCATATGTATGCAGACTGCTGGTTCCTTGCCTCTCAGGCAGATGCACTCCGACTTCAAAGGTAGCTCCCAATTAGTCAGCTCTTACGACATGCTTTTCGGTAAGCAGTGGGTCTGTTCTTGTTTTCCTTATAATAGGGCCCCAGAACCCACATGGGGAGAAATAGTGTTCAAACTGTAAGACCTGTACATAAATGTAGGGCATACTCAGCATTTGCCAGAAACTGGTCAGATTGTAAGATTTGCACATGCTTGCTGGTCGTACTTGGCATACACCTCATTTGACAAAATCTAAGATTGTCAAGTCAAGTAGAGGATGCTGAAACACACAAACTGTCTAACTTTGTTATACGCTGAAATAAGCAGCTAAAGATAACTAAGACTCCTAGTACTGCACAAATACCATACACATTCCACGTAAAGTACTTTCATTTATAGGAATGTACTCAAATTATGTCGGTTTCTGTGGCTTAGGGGCTCTGTGCATAGTTCAGAACCCTTTAATACCTGGTTTGGTTTAGCTGCCAGTGATTTCACAGCAGACCATATTGCATTGATTTTGAAAATGATAAAGAGTGTCAACTATTTAGAAAGCGATGACAAACTACAGAATGTAAAATTGTCTTTAACAAACCATAAACAGCTATTGATATTTGGCTTGGAATGTTTTGTAAAGGATATGAGACATATTTTTCAGGTAACCACTTTTGTAATTATAAAGAATGTAGAGACTATCATTTTAGAAAGGACAAACCTATATTGTTTAAAAGAAAGATGATCAGCTTCATTCAACCAGGTTTCATCAAAAATAAGTTTCTTTCAGAATGGCTGGCCATACAAAGCACAAAATCCATAGCTTCGGTCAGGCTCTCAGAAATACTCACACTTGTGAACCAAACACCTGAGTCTGAAATCAAGCCCTACATGGGTTCTGGGGCCTCATTTTGGGGAACAAATAGACCCATTGCTTTCGAGTACATTGTAAAAGATGGCTTATTAGGGATTTCTACCTCTGAAGTTAGAATGCTACAGGGATCAAACAGTCTGCATACAAGTAAGCCAGTCTATAAAACAGTTGTGTACACAAGATTTAAGTTCTGGAAAGAGGACTAAAGTACAGAAATGAACAAACAACCAGAACTTTCTGCTGAAGTTTACAGCCAGTAAACACAAAGGCAAAGGAGAAGAATTAACAATAAAATGTGGAACCTACTACCAGTGGCAGTCACACATTTGTGGAGAATATTTATAAGAATTACTGAGTGGCACCTCAGACATGGTGAACTGATTACTGACACACAGTATTTTAAGCTGGATTAATCATTTACAAATATTTCTTTTACTCCATCAAGGCTGTTTAATTGTTTCTGTCTCTATATGTTTGATCGCTGATAACTAATCTAATGATTTCATCTTTGATAACATCCTGTGTGGTACTGTTACTGTTTATTGACTGTCTACATGCCTTTAATGTTTTTAAGTAACCATTTTCACAGCACATTAGGAAAGTTTTAGGACCAGATGAAAGAACAGTAAAGAATAGTTTTTATATTTTGAAACAATTGTATACACTAGGCTATTTAAAATGGCTACAGTGTACATTAAAAGTGTGTCACTTTAGCCAGTGGTATTTGACACAAAAGATTCACTGCCCTGTCTGATGCACTTGCAGTTTCTCTGAGAAACAAAGCTGGAGGACAGAAGCAGTGTTGGATTGAACGCTTTATTGACAGTACTCAGTATTATACAGTTGCCAGGCTGCTGACTGCTCATTTTACAGTCATTTGAAATCACTTGACATCTACACATTAAATATATATATATATATAACATACATGACAATACATGTGTCTAGTGTTCCCACAGAACATTGTGTATACATGCAGTTATTATATTTCTGATGCCGTTCCTGTTTCCTAATGATTATTTGATTTTCTAGGCATTGAAAAGATCCAGGCATAACATTTCAAGTGCTGTGTTATGACTGATAACCCAGAGAACTCTTAACACACACCGTGGTATTTGTCTCCCACCATTTCATTCCTGCCCTAAGGTGGAACCCTGGCCCATTTCCCCATTCTTACAGTCTCGAAAGTGATAACCAAATCCTGTTACTTGAGTCCCAACCATTACCCACACTGGTGTGTTGGAACTGCAACCTGGTGATGGTGCCTGCATGCTCAGCCCTCTGTGCCTGCTTGCATTCTCTGGAGGTCACATTCCTGTTGTCTACAAAGTCCATCTGGTAGACCAAGCAGCTGGTCAACGTTATCCTCCTACCCCCCTACTCCTCCCAGTGTGTTCAGCAATGTGTGTTGTCCCCCCTGCCCATCTTGTCCAATTACTAAACCAAGAGACAGCGGTGGAGGTTGTTAACCAAGGTAGATGACTTATTTTAACTAGTGTCTCTTGCCTTTATTTGTCGTTATTTAAAAGTAACATTATAAATTCGCTTAGTAAGACGTATGGCACAGTGTTGTGGCCGAAAGTGAGTAGGGATTATAGGACTTTGTGGAGCAAGTAAATAAATTGCAGATATTTTTTGATAAAGTTGGACGAAAAGGGAACCATTATTTGGAAGTAGGGGAGATGTGCTTTTATTGGAGAATGATAATTCCCTAGACAGGTCAAAAGAGTAATGTGGATATCTAGAAAGAAACTGACTTCTGAAGAGGACTTATTACCCACATCAGAACAAGAAAATCTATATTGTTTGATCTTGTTATGAGAAGGGGGAAAAAAACTTTAGTACATTGTGACAGTAGGAAGTTTGGAGGTGTAAAGAGGCAGACGGAGACTGAGAGAAAAAATGCTGGACAGTTTCGACGTACTTAAAGATAATCTGTGTCAGAGTTGATAGAAAGTACAGGAGACACAGGGTTGTGGATAAGCATGATTACCAATGCCACATGGCAGGGACTATAAGAAGAAGATTTCTATAAGACAGTAAACAGAAAGCTAAAAGTAACTATGAATTAGCAAAGCAATACAGAGTTTAGTATTTAATATTTGAACAAGCATAGGAACAATAATTTTTCTGTCAGATATATCTAGTTTACAAAAGATGACAGAAACAAATAAACAGTAAACACAATAGTGGAAATGGTCGAAAATGCATTCAGCATGAGATAAAAATCAGTCAGTATCTACAGAGATAAATTAAGACATTAATAAACACTAAAAGTTGGCAGATAAGCATGAACATTGATCAAAAGCAAGTTAAACATCACATTCACATCATGGAAATACATGTGTATATATTGTAAAGACAAATATTTCGTCAAAGTTTAAACAAAGAAAAGTAAACCCGCACGCACAGCTGCTGAAAAAAAAGAGAATCAATGTAATTTTAAAGACAAAATAATATTTTGGCCACAATAACAGACAGCCGTCGTGATGTTGATCACATCACTCACTGAGTGCCGAATGGTCTATAAAATATAGGTCTAGCCCTATATGCCCAATATGCCGGAAGGGATGGCAAATGGTCCTTTACAATAATAGACTTGATAATATCTGACACCAGAGGAACAATTTAAAACAGGTGGACGTGAAGTAGACAATGATACAGATGGGGATAAAATAAAGAAAAGGACAAATGGGAGTCAGAGTTGAAATCGAGTAATAGAAACTTTTAGAGATCGATTGCACCATTAAATATTTTTGTTGGTGTAATTCTTGTAATACTATAGTCTCCTGCTTGAAGGTGTGGATCTCAGTCTGAAGTTTGCAAGGAGATTCATAATTTTTATCACAGAAGTTACAGCCTTAAAGAGCTTTATGTTGTCAGCAGAGGCTGACTTCGGTATTCTTTATGCCAGAAACAAGCATAACTGACAGGAAATGAATTGTCTGGTTCTACTATTTATATGAAAATAGGCCACTTATATTACATCTCACTTTAGTTTGTATTTCTGTCCATTGAATATTTGAAAATACTTTAGTACACTGTTTCCATTCTAATTTTGTCTTTGATTCCCTCATTTAAAGTCTGTGGCTTAGGATTCTTCTTCTTCTTCTTGTTTTATGAGTTGATATATTCAGTTATATCTGTGTGCATTTTTACCCCTCATTAAGCTGCCTACTTTGTATTTAGTGAATCCTTTCTTTTTTTTTTTTTTTTTTTTTTCTGAGTTGGCCCTTGACAGGGAAGTTATTTCACATTTCTTGCATGTTACTGTTATATGTTATATGATGTTAGAGCAATGCTTTTCAGCAGCTTTACTCAGGGGTCTGGAAAATGGAGATCATCTTTAGCCAGCGATACGAGCCCCGGCATAGAAAGATAATAATGACCTGCGGGCAACTTGCAAGGCCTCTGCAAGCCAGATTTGACTTGCAGGCCTCTAGTTGAATAGCACTGGGGTAGAGAATTATTTTATCTTTGCATACAACCAGTAGTTTTTAGGACCATCAAGTCAGATTGTTTAAGATGGCTGTGCAGTGCCAGTCTGCCAGAGAAGTGGCAAAAAACATACTTTTAAATTCAGAGACGAGATAAATACTGGTAATCTTAGAAAAGGAAAATAAGCATCATGCTAATTCTGTAGCAGCTGGACATTGAGAGGTAGATGAGATTATTAAAGACATAGAAATAGTGCGTGTAGATTTGTTTGGTCTAAATGAAATCTCAGACCCCAGGCTGAAAAGGAATCGGGGGAAAAAAGTCTTATGAAATAGTTTTAATAGTAACATTGCATTTTCATTGTTTCCACTATTATAGGTATTTTAACTACTATTTGTACCTTTGGGTTGGATGTGTGGCAGCTGATAGAAATTGTTCAGTTGGTTTGAGATTTTGGGCACATTTTCAATAATCTAAATTTTTCCTAATAAGGTTAAGGACCCACAGCTGAAAGTAGAAGAGGCACACCCACATGAAGTAGTCCTCCTTCCAACTCTTATAAGCCAGATGAGGGAGTAAGTATGTCATAGATACATTTAAAAAAAATGATCAGTGTACTCCCGCATAGGAGATCTGTTGATGAATGTTAAATACCTAGGTCATTTTAACTAAGAAATTAAAAGAATATTTAGACAACTGCTGGCTTCACCAGTTATAAGGTAAAGAAGATGGACACTGTATTGGACATATCCTGAGGGAAAGTGGACAGATAATCACAAAATACAAACTGAAATGGGAAACAAACAGATTTAAAAAATGAACATGTCCAAGATAAACCCAAGGCTGATATTTTTTAGGGGAGCCAATAGTGCGGCATCGGATTCATACTTGATATTGAAAGGATTGTACATTATAGAATGGAATGGAAGAAATGGCTATAAGCCATAATGGTGTAGAAATGGCACAAAGGGATGATGGTGATGACTTTTCTACATCTATAGTGAATCATCACACAAAAATTGAACACCTTCGGGGAGCTGAAAGTTAAAGGACATAATTTCAATGTTGCGTGAAAAATGTTTTAACAGAAACCTTTAAAAGCAGCCTGTATACAATCTGAGATGATGAAAAAGAAAAGAGTGAGAACGGAGTATTATTAGTTATTACAAAAACTGATTCCATGGTACCTTCCAAGCAAGCAGACTTGTTACTATGCTATATATACAGATGTAGTACAGGTAACCCTTTTGCCACATACCAGGTTTAAACAAGATCTTTTTCCAATTTCCAAATTTCATTGTACCAAAAAAAAACTGCAGCCTATTAATTCCCTTGTTCTCCACCCTATTAAACTAGGTCTGTGGCTTAGGCGTTGCAAACGCGCTTCATAATACTGGGGTACCAGGTTCGATTCCATCTGCAGACAGTTTGTTTTGCGTTGGTTTCAACAGTGGTACCAATAGAGCTGACCCTTCAGAAAGCAACGGCAAACTAGTGAACATAAAATTTTCCCAGAAAAACCACAACAGCAAAAAAAATGCAGGGGTTGGTTCTGCAGTGTCCTGTAAAGGATACGCCACTAACTTAATAAACTAGAGGAGGAAAAGAAGCAGCACTGAAGCTCCCCTTACCGAAAAGATTACCACACCAAGGAATAACATACCGGGGTTACCCAAGTTTCCAAGAGCTTAAGGTTCTTAACCTCTCCTCATTGTCTGTTAATTTCTGAGGAGTGGCCAGGGAATCTGTCCGATGCTGAACACTCAAAAGATAGTATAACGGCTTTACAGTCAAGACTGTTATTGGTACTATCAACATGGTGCGTTTATGACCATGTCTCTAGTGCTGTGGTGTTGATTCTTAATTCAACATTAATTTCTGTTGAGTAAACATTTGCAGATACACAAATATGTTTTTCAAATGTTTTGCCTTTTCTAGTTTCAGCTTTACTTTTAAACTCAAGCCAGTGGATCTCCGCAACCTGACACTGCTGGCTGCTTTGTCCATGAACCTAGAAAGAGGCATGACCCTGAACTCTTTACCCCCATATGCAGTGCCCTATAGGCAGTTTGGTGTCAGCATATGCCACCATAAGCTGACAGGGGAAGAAGTGCTGACTGCCATTGATGCCAGTGTTGTGGCCTTGTGTGTGGCAGATCTGTCCAAGGTCTGTATGTTGGTGCAGTCGTACTGCCTCCTTGTGACTTATTAATATGACTGTATTGCTTTTCCTGTGTTTAAATACAAGTTACATTAATTTGTATTTTAATGCTATTACAATTTTTAGGAAATCTTTATATAAAGGGGCTTCAAATTAAAATCTATAAATAATGAATAAGCTGACAGGCCATTGCAGTCATACGATGACTCAGAGATTTGATTTGATTCAAGAACCGACATCACAGCACTTGGGGCATTCCCATAAGCGCTCTATCTTCAGCAGCCAGTGAAGAGTTTTGCTACTAATGGTGCCAGTAGCATTATGAATTAACGTCTGTCTTGCCTTTCCTCTGAGCCTTGAGCATCTGCCTGGACCTCTCGTCACACCCCCCCCCCCCCCTGCATCAATCTCACCAGATCCATCTGCTCCTCCGAACTGTACACGCTCTCCCACAAGGCACTAACCACGTCTGCCTTATCATGCATCAGTATTCTACTAAGTTGTGCAGAGCCAGCCAGTCTGTCAGCCTGTTCATTTCCCAACACACTGGAGCACCCGGCGAAAAAATCCAGACAATACTTCTCACCCATGTCCTCCGCAGTGACGCATGCCATTCTGCACGAAGCATGCCTGTCATGGTCTTCCTCGGCATGCTTTCTGAGTTGACTCAGAGATAGAGGCCTTACTTCAAGACGATCTTATGTTGGACCATACTTGACTCACAGACATCATCAGCAGCACCTGCATTGGGCAGCAGCAGTTGAATGCTGTCCTATTCACAGATGAGAGCAAATTCAACCTATATTTTGCCTGGACCAAGTCTACATGCAAGGGTCTGACATACCAGATCCTGAGAATATTGCGAATTAATTTTTTTTTTAATTGGTTGCATTATTTGTATTTTCCTGTGCCTGCGCAGAATGCGATGAATTTCATAACAATTAAAGATACAAATTAATTACCAGTATGGATTCAAAGGAAAATGAATACAGATTCCATATGTGTCTACTTGTAAACACTTATATTTCTTCTTCTTCTTCTTTGCTTTCACCTGCTGAAAACTCTTGCGGAAAATTTTGGTTGTTCATCCACTTCTGGACTGCAGTCCTGTTTCAGAATCTCAATGTTGCGTGTGCATCCGTTTTACAGATCTGACTCATTTGTATGCAGACTGCTGGTTCCTTGCCTCTTAGGCAGATGCACTCTGACTTCGAAGGAAGCTCCCACTTTAGTCGACTATTACGACATGCTTTTGGATAGGCATTTATATTTTACAGAATGATTCAGGTGGTGCGTTTTTAATGTGCTTTAGTACATAATGGTTTACAGCTTGGGTGTGATATCTGCGCCTTCCGGCCCAACACATCTAATTCTAACAAATGCTAAATTTGTTGCCTTTTTTGACATGTGTGTTAAATAGCCATTCTCTCTTCTCCTCCTCCTCCCCCCCCCCCTCCCCCGTCCCCATTTTTCCAGAATAGTGCTCTAGAACACATGGGGAATTGTAGACAATAATCTATATCTATAATAGTTTATTAGTCACAAATGTTTCTCTGGAACTCCTTAGTGTGAATTTCTTGCACACATAAGAACACCTTGAAAAGGATAGGTAAATGTTATGATTCCTGAGTGTCCCTTACTATTGACTTGTTTTGCTCTTCAGGCAGAGCGTGTGAGCGAAGACCTGCCTTTAATTTTCCATGAGATGCCAATTTGTGCGTGTCTTGGACTGGGTAGGTGGATTATTCTTATGTTAATTGCTTGACTTAAATATTGATCTTTTAGATAACGTCTTAGATAAATGGGTACCCTGATAACATCAGATGGAAGATATATTATATAAGGTGAGTGTAGAACAGCTCAAGCAAAGGCAGCATTTTATAAAATGAAGAATATTCTATGCAGCCTTTCTGTGTCAGTTGAGATGAGAAAGAATTCTCAAGAGCTATATAAATCATATCATTGACATTTGGACGATTAGTGAACAAATATTTTGGAAGCAGAGAAGGTGTGGTTTTAAACACAGATGATGAGAATACCCTGAACAGATTTTAAAAAAGTAATTAAGATGCCTTGAAAAAATCTAATGGAGAAAACTGATTCCCCACATTATCAGGAGACAATTTGCATTCACTGGTCTTGTTTTGAGAAGGAGAAAACTGTACATTGTGACGGTAGGAAAATAGGAACAAATAGAGGCATATGAAAATAGAGGAAGAAGATGCGTGACCGTCTGACATCATGACCTGGAAGATCTTCTGTGTCAAAATTGATTGAAAGTACTGGAGACAGAAGGCTGTGGATAAACGTGACTGCCATCACATGGCATGTACTATAAGAAGAACATCTTAGAATCCAAGCTGCAGCCCAGTGGATGTCATCAGCTATGCGTTTGTGACTGCCATCTTCATGCTTCCTGTCACTTGTATTAGTAGTGCACTATTTGCCACCTGACCTATTTCTGCATTACTTTTATCTCCAGCATGCCAGGATGTGTAGATCCACCCAGGTTGCAACTTCTAAATGTTCACACCAGATGCTACCTGTTGCAGTTTTCTAAAACAGAATCACATATAATGACAGCATAAATGACTGCTTGTTCTGCTGCCAACTTGAGAATTGTGTAGGCAACCCTTATCTAGAAAGAATCACCGGATTGTTCTCAATTAATCGCAAGTTATTGATCATGCGTTCAGTTTCTGACGGAACCAGACATTTTCCCAGGTATCAGGTATAGCCCTGGGAAGTAAAGGCACCGCACATGACAATCACCCACCAAACGCTGATTGGAAATAATAGGTTTTGCCCAACATGCCAAATACTCCTGAAACCTTGGAAAAGGGTCCTTTAATTTTATCAAGTATAGGTGGTTTGATGGATAATTGGTCGCATAAACTGCATTTGCCTCATTCATTTATTTTCTGTCCTTTAGACTAAATCGTGCAGTTGGAAGTTTTCCTTTTGGGGAACTAAGACTGATGCCATTGAATATATTTCTTTTTAGAGGTCAGTCGTAATACAGGAGAAAATGTCACACAAGCAGATTGCTGAGTTTATATTCTGCTTGTAGAGACTAGTCAAAATCTACAGGAGGAAAAGTAATTACAAGCAGATTGTTGATTACGCTCTGTAGAGAAAATTCAAATACTACAAGAGACAAAATAACACAAGCATGTTATTGATTATACTCTGTGTGTCAGAGGAAAAGCTGCATAGACAGATTATTGATTATACTTTGCTTGTAGTACTACATGAGAACAGCCAGCTACAAGGCAAGAGGCTAATAAAGAAAGGTATAGATAAAGGGAGTAAAAGTGACACTTCAGAAACACAATATGACATTACACAAGCTACGCAGCTAGCAAAAGACAAGAAACTATATATAAAAACTTCTCTCTGTGATGCTTTACAGCGTAAGCAGTAGGACACAAGAAGAAGACAAACACATTAAAAATGGTAAACAGGAAAATTGAACATGAATATTGGAGAACCGATGGCGTATCACTTGCAGCATCAGAATGAAGCAATATGTGGTGCTGACTGAATGTAACAGTAAAAGTAAAGGATCCCTTTGCCATGCTTTCAGGAGTATTAGACATATAGGGCTAGACCTCTATTTTATAGACAAAACGACAGACACTTGGTAGTTGATGTGGTCAGCATCACGCCAGCTGCCTTTACTTCCCAGGACTGTGCTTGGTACCGACTCAAGGCTTTTTTTGAAAAAAGTCAGGACCAAAATCCACAACCTTCCGATCTGCAGGTGAGCGTTTAGCCGCTAGACGATGGCGGCTCCAGAATGTAATAGTTGATATTGTTATTTGTATGTCGTGAATTTACCTATCTGCATCCTCTCCATGTCGCTGTTGACACATGGCATTCACAATGATCTCCACAGCTGCCCGTCTGCTGCTTTTCTGTCCATGGAACCCATGTCCATTTACACTCCTTCATTTCCCTAATCTGTCAATCTTCAGGTTTCCTTAGATCATGTAGTCACAGATAATGATGTGTTTATATATATATTCCTTGTCAGGCATTTTTCGCTGTATCTCATTTGGTGTGTTACCACAGAGTTACGTCAACATAAAATGAAGCACAAAAACTGAATAAATCCAACTGAAATGTGGGTGGTTTCTTTTGATGCATTGTTTTTGAGACCTGATTAGATTCATTGAAATAAGCCTGGCAATAAATTGTGTAGTGTATTGTTTTGGTCTGAATTATTTGAATTCATTATGGAAAAACATTGTTCTGCAGGTATTGTGCGTGGCATTGACACAGAGAGGGGCCTGTTGTATTTGGTGAGCTCCCTACCCAGGGTGCGTCTGCAAATGATGAACACAATCCTGAAAGGGTCACTCTCTTTGCCAGATCAGATTCTTCTGAAACAGGTATAATCGCAATATTGTTTTTAGTTGAAATTTAGTTGGATTTTTTTTTTTTTTTTTGTTATTGTTGATTTCTTGCATAAAGTAAATACTTTAAATCCTCTTTATTTTTTTTTTTTGTTTTGTTTTTGTTAAAAAAAAAATCTTACTGCTTATGCCATCTCAGAAAAGAGTTGTATGGTAGTTTCCTTTCCTTTGCTAGTTGCATAGCTTGCCTTAATGTCTTATTGCTTTATCGCTTTTCTGTAGTGTCTCTTTTAATCCCTCCCTCCATCTCTTTCTTGGTTAGCCTCTTGACTTGTAGCCCACTGTTCTCATAGTACCCTCTAGTTGCTGGCTGATTATGTTCCATTGTGACCAGATGGCCAAACTATTTGATTATTTGATGTTGTGGTTCTGTAGTGTGACACATCTTCCACTGTTGCATACAGCTAGATTTCCATTGGAATACGAATCTGTCAAACCTGGGACCTCTCTGATGCATGTAGATACTTATCGGTAGCACCTATGGTGCCTTTCCACATGGGCTCAATTCTGAAACCCTAGCTTAGAATTTTTTTTTACATATGGCTGCAGAGTCTGTTGTATCCAGTTCGCAGTCTGAATATAATTGTTTTGTTTTTCTTGTGAGGAATTGAATGGGTCTTTAGTAAGTGATTTCAATTAACTGCATTTATCTGCTGTGAGGATTGATAAAAGTAACATAACCAAGTTTAACTTGTTTGTATTCCACCCCTTTTTTGCAAACACCCTCTTACTTATTTCGTTTTGTAATATAACCCTTAGGGCCGGAGTTTTTAAAAAAAATTACCTTGACTCCTAGGTCAGCCTAGCCCAAAGTAGGTATCAGGTACATATCTGGGAAGTAAAGGTGGCTGGCGTGATGCTGACCACATCATACACCAAGTGCCATCTGGCCTATAAAATATAGGTCTAGCCCTATATGCCCAATATGCATGAAAGGCATGAAAATGGGTCCTTTACTTTTACTTAATATAGCTCTTGTCTACTTTTTTCCCTGTTCATTTTTTCTTGATTTCATGTTGTCTTGTCCGTTGAGTTTTCCAGTTGCAGTTTGTGTTATATTCAGCACTCCATTGATAAAAGACTTAAGTCAAAGCATTCAGTTTGCATTTGTGTATGTCTTTTCTGTTCCCTCTGTCAGATTTCTATTCACATTTTATGTATGCCCGGCTCTTAAGCATAGTTGGCTAAACCGGATTGCGCGGTGACCGGGTGACGAACTCCATGTGGTCCGGGTTCACTCCCGGGGGTAGGCAGAAAAGCCACATTTCTCCCAGATTTACGGTATTTACAATGGAGTCAAGGCCGAAAGGTTGCGATATCCATAATACTGAGCCTAAGGGTTAACAACTCATGGCTTCTGGATACTAAAACAAATTCACATTTTATGTTGTATTTGGTAATTAAGCTTACATTCACTCATCCACAACATGCACTTTTATTGTTAACTTTTTATATTATCTGTCAAGTCGATTTTGTATTGCTGTTAACTAGTTTTGCAGCATTCTTTGTTTACATTCAAGAATCCAACCATGTTTTTTTTTTTTATTTCTTATTGTTTCAGACAAGCTCTGAACCCATACCATATGTGGATGCACTGGCACCCTCAACTGCTGTGGCATCCGTGAGGCCAAGAACAAGAATGCCCAGAATCTCATTTGGTGCTAAGAAGTGAAGCAAACAGCATACCAGTGTTGAAGGCACTACAAGCACTACTGTATGTTTATACATGTGCATGATCTTTTCTGGTGCAGCTGTCTGGAATTTGCCAGATCATTGTTCCTAGCTGGGAATGTATTATCTGGAAAGTTTTAGTGTTCTACATAGTGTTTTGTTGCATGTAATGTTAATTTCTTTGTGAAAGAACATCAGGTTTGCTACACTTGTTGTTTATACAATTTTGTGTGATAGTATGTATTGATTTCATAAAAGCATTTCTGACTTTCTCGTTAGAACTGATAGTGTCTAAAGAAAGCATAGTTTAGGGTATATAATGAAATCTGACACAGCATAAATTTTAGAATAGTAGGTGTCTGATATAAAAAAAAAATCACCTAGCATACGTTTACAAAAGTGGGTGTCTAATGAAAGTTCACTGACATTCAGTTTAGGTTATTTATACCTAATTTAAGCCCACTCTGTCTAAGAACAAACCACTTACAAACATGTTACCAGTTGTATAGAAAGCAGCACGTAAATGAATGTTTAGAGCAGATGACAGTTGCATCATGAGTCTAGTGGTCTGAATTAAGCAGTGTACATCATTGTCAGTTTACCTGTATTTCAACAAGTATAGCAATTTCTTTGCTGTTTCATCTCTGGACTTATCCACTGCTGAAGAAGTTCTGCTGTCTGTTCAGTTACATTTTTACCTTTTTCAGTCAGTTCAGGTTGGATTGTACTGATTTGTTGTTGAATAATAAAAAAGTGTTGTTTCATATTTGTCTTCTTCTTCTCTTCCACCTTGTAGCTCATCGAAGTGTCAGGGGGAGATGTAATGTTTTATGATGTCATATTTGTCTGCATTTTGTAATTCTGTACCACAGATATTACCTATCTGTTGTCATAATTGTTTTGTTTTTTAATCAAGCAAAGTTTATTTATTGAGTAGAAGGAAGGCCTATAGTCAGTGGAAGATGTTAGGCATAAAATATCAGGTGCAGCATTTAACATTGCTCATTTTGAGTTTGTAACAACACAGTTTGTAAGGGTTATGGGAGGGGTCACTGACTCCAGTGGTTGGGCTTCATCTGGCACTGGAAACCTTTCTACTTGAGTTGAGACTTAGCAACTGGAATATGGCAAGATCATGGTTTCAGCAGGATGGTGCCACAGCCAATATAGCACGATTCATTGAACACCCTACATGCTGCATTCCTCAAGCTACTTTTCTTTCTGTCTAGCAACATTCTGTGGCCTTCCAGTTTACCGAACCTTAGTGCAGCAGACCTATTTTTTAAAGGGAGGTATTTGAAACCTCAAGTTTTCACTTACACTCTTCCTGACAGTAACAGCGTTAAAAATGCAGTTTGTCAGGAGATGGTGAATGTTACGAGGGAAATTCTACATCATGTCACAGAAAATGTACGTAGGAGATGGCAGCAGTGCCTTGACTATCATTGGTGACATTTGTTGTATTCAGGAGATGAGAAGGCCCATTTTGTGAGTCTAAGACATTGACTTACTTATCCATGTTCAGTTGTATTTATTGATCAGTACAGTAAAAATGTTATCCTGCTGTCAAAATGAGTAATGTGAAATGCTGTACCCTGTAGAAAAGACACTGTTCCGTGCCTTTAGTCATATTAAGTGTATGGTAAGGAAAGGAAAAGGACCCCTTTTCCACGCCTTTAGGTGTATAGGGCATATAGGGCTAGACCTATATTTTTATAGACCAATCGGCACAGGAGGGTGATGTGGTCAGCATAATGCCAGCCGCCTTTACTTTCCCGGGACTGCACCCAGCCACACAAGGCTGGGTCGACCTGGGAGCCAGTGTCATTAAGTGTATGGTGCTAGCCTAATATCTTCTTCTAGCTTGTTCATTCGCTGTAAGCTCTGATTGTAAGTCCTGGTTGTTTGTCCATTTGGACTTTGATCATAGAATAAAAAAGCATCATCTGTTGATCCCCTGAAGCTAACTTTTATAAATGGCATTTCAGTAAGTACATCTTAAAACTTTGTTTAATCAAATGTTGTTATTACCTGATTAATGGTGGTCATATTGATTGTAATATTATAGTTACAATAAACGAATTGCATAAATGACTTTTGTTGACATGTATTTAAATGTTGTTTATTATACTTCATAATCATTATAGATGAAATAGTACTATCATTTAAACGTCATATACAACTTTATGCATTTTACAAAGTAAACAATATGCATGCTATCTCCCCTGTGACACAAGCAGCCCAAAGTACTAAAGTGAATTTTATCAGAACTATTTTTTGGCCAACACTATGATATCAGTGCCAGACATGGACACTTACATCCTCCAGTGAACGTAAAATTGTGACAACAGAGATAAAATGCCTTAGAAAAGCTGCAGGAGTTTCAAGGAAAGACAGAATATGAAATTGCAAAATCAGACAAATGCTAGGAATAAAGTCTTACAGGTCATCAGAGAACAAGAAATGAAGTGGTATGGACACCTAATAAATTGCCCTGGTACTATCTGCCACAGTAAGCCACATTAAAACGGGTATAGAGCGAGTGGAAGACCGGAAAAGATAAAGTGATGGCATTAAGAACAGCCTTACAGAAATGACCATCAGTCCCAATAGTGCTCATGACAGAGCTCATCAACAAATGTTACATCTCCCCCCGACACTTTGCTGAGGTACAAGGTGGAAGAGAAGAAGAAAAACTATGCATTAACAGGAAGTACTTTCACAGAGGTGTCGATGACAGGTTTGCTTTCAATAATGTGGCAAACTAGCATTAACAGACCATATCAGTCGGAAAGTTCCTGTACAGATTAACCTGTAACCAGGATGAAATAAAAATAATAAATTCTCACCTCCAATCGTCCATTCATCCACCGCATGCATGCATGCACGCACACATACACCACACAAACTGGCTTCACATCCTCAAACCAACACTATCCACTTAACCCTTTCTCGGAAGTCCTTAGGGAAAAATCCCACATTCCATGTCATCTGACCTTTCTCTACATTCATTATTTCACTCCTCTGTTCTGTTCTAATTGATAGTCCCGGTAGAAGCCTTCATCAGAACATTTTTCCAACAGCCTGCAGCTTCTCCTAAAGAATGAATCAGATCTGCTGAGTTTTCTATGTCTAATACCAAATCTGGTTTTTTACTGGCACATCCAGTACCAAATTCATAGAGAAAATTTAAGGATCATTGACAGCATGTTAGACATGGCATGGACATGTTTCAGCATACACAATTATACATGCTGTTGTAGATCGCAAAGTGCAGGGAAACATGGTCACACAACACTTGACAAGGAATACACACAAAAATGAAAGGCACTTAGATGTGCTTTATTACTACTTTTAATCATTCAGAAATCCAGATGTAGTAATGTGACCATTCCTAACTCTGTATTCATTTCCTGGTGACTATAATAATGTCAGTTTTTCTGGACCAGGTCTTTTCAACTGATGGCCCGCAGGTCACATCTGGCCTGTAGAGGCTTAGCAAGTGGCCCGCGAATCACTGCCAGCTGTATTGTATTAATGATTTTTCTATGCAGGAGCTCAGGCCTCTGGCCTGTGACGATCCCCATATTTCAGAATTCCGGCTTCTGGGTAAACAGTTGAATAGCCATGCTCTAGGCATTCAATAGCTGAAATGTACTGGGGGATCTTCATTGCTGTAATTCACCACTTTCACATGACGTTGCATTTTTTTAGCAGCATTTCTAGAGAAAAATCCAAATTTTTTTTTTTAATCATAATTATACATGTAAAAATTACTGGTAGAAGTTGAAATAAAAGATGAGGAACAAACTAGCACGCCATAATAAAATACTTTACAACATGAAGACATAAGTAATATGTAAATTTACACTATCTTAGTAAATATGTCTGATGGGGAAAACTATACTTTACACACATTAAATGGTGTTTGAAGATAGATGGATTGACTTCCTTACCCGTATTATATCATATATAGTAAGGTCTCTGTCTCTACGTAGCAGCTAACTACCCACCAAGAGCATAAAGAAAATACTCAACAGCCCCGGTAATTACCTGTTTATTAAAGTGAAGCAAACATTTGACGGAAAACAAAATCAACAGCTTTGATGATTTGTAGCAGTACAGGAGGTGTTCATAAACGAATATAACCTTTTCCTTGTGTGCACATTTTTAAAATCTCTTTACACCTAATCATTCAGAATTGTGAATTGCACAACCTGCCTAAAAAATAATTGCTAGCTTCCGTGATTCTGGTATTCACCACACCAGATGCAGACTGGCTACCCACCATCTTTTAAACATAAAACTGTCAAGGACACAGCCTGAAAGGATCATTTCACATGAAATACACAACTCACAGTGTTGCACCAAGGACCTCCCATGTGGGTTCTGGGGCACAACTGTGGGGAAAACAAGAATAGACCCTTTGCTTGCCCAACAAGCATGTCATAGGAGTTGACTAATCGGAGGCTTCCTTAGATGTCAGAGTGCATCTGCCGAGGGAAGGGACCAACAGTCTGCATACAAAAAAGCCAGATCTGTAGTATGGATATGCATGCAACACTCAGGTTCTGAAATAAGACTAATATCTGGAGGTAGATGAACAACCATAACTGTTTTTGTGGAGTTTACAGCGGGTGAACATGAAGAAGAAGAGGAGGAGCATCAAGTACTCAGCTCAGTAGCTGGGTGGAAAAAATATGCACAGTTTGTGTTAGCCAGCCTGAACCCAAACTGGCTTCCCACCATATCTGAAAACAAAACGGCCATGAACACAAACTGAAAGCATTTCACACTAAATTTGCAGCTCACAGTGTTGCACCAAGTAGTCAACTCAGTAGCTGGGCTCCCAATATGGGTTCCAAGGCTCTATTATGGTGGGGGGGGGGAAGACTACACCCACTGCTTCCCTAACAAGCATATCATAAAAAGCGACTGATTAGTGCTGTTTTGTCTGAAGTCAGAGTGTATCTGCCTGAGAGGGGAAGAACCAACAGTCTG